TTGAGGGCTAGGCACTGCAATGCTTTGCCTAGCTTCTGAAAACTTTAACAGGGGATAAAGCCTATGATGGTTTTGGGTTTTTTTTTCCTTTACCTTTTTGTTTTTTAAACTTCCCCAGTTTTTTCTTAAATGCCTTTAAGTATTTTAAAAATGAAAAAGTAACTGCACACAGAAAAAATGAATAAAAAGGTTTTTCGTTTTCTAATATTAGTTTTTATAAGACAATGGGACATAAACGACATATACTGTCTTCAGTCAGTTTGAACCACAGGTTGGTTGTTCAAGCTCACCAGCTGCTCCTCAGAAACCCTATACAAGGTCACTATGAGTCAGAACTGACACGACAGCACTTCACAAACAACATACTGACCGGGAACTGGATACAGGTCTCCTGCACAAAAGCAAGAATTGTACCAGAGGAATCACCACTTCCCTCTAGTGTAACGTAGTGGAACATAATGGCATTACCTGACAAACATTGATGAAATCGGGTTTCTCCAAGTTCATATAAATTTTAACTAGAACTCTTAGTACTTTATTTCGAAATTGTTTATTCTGCATTAAAGACATGCAGAGCTTGAGGCTATAAGCAAGCATTCCAGGGACATCATTCTGAAAAAAAGATAAAGATCCATCATCATTATCTAGCTACTAAACCATTGTTTATTAAAAAAATAATAATTTCAGTCTATATTCTTTAGTCACGCTAGGCAGCCAATGATTTAAACCTCTTAAAATTTCAACAATTTTAGAAAAAATCCTTAGAAGAATTAGGTATTTTCATGGTTTTGTGAAAATAAGGATTGAAGGAAGATGTTACCATTTAGTGATGTCCCAGGATGATGACGACAATAATCACATGAAATCATACAAGAGAGTGATGCTTTCACTTATTTTCAAAAGATATGCACAACTGTCCACATACCAAATAGCCATGCTTCCAGTGGCTGAAGAGACTTTCTGCCTTTCACTTGCTACTGGACTCCCTCAGGACTGAATGCTATGCTCATTGCTTTCCCTTAGGCCAGTACATGAAGCGACAGAGACTCTGGGTAACCTAGGCTTTGAGTGCTATGGCATCTGGTGCTCTCCAGGAGTCAACTTGGATGCCAGACTATATGTGTTTACTTTGTGGTTCTCAAAAGCATCTCCAGAGTTTGAGATACCACCCTAAAATGTAATGTCCTTGAAAAGTTCTTTTCAAAAAGTTAGAAATGGAAAGATCATATGATCCATCAATCTCACTACTAGGTATATATCCTAGAGAAATACAGCCATGACATGAATAGATAGATGGAAATAACCTAAATACCCATCAACAGAATGGATAGACAACTATGGCACATACACACAATGGAACACTATGAAACATTAAAGAACACTGAATCTGTAAAACATCTCACAATGAAGACTAACCGGGAGAACAGATTTAAGTCAATCATTTAATTAAAAAAAAAAATCAAATATATGAGGTCACCAATATAAAAGTCAAGAAAAGGTAAATAAAAAAGAAACATTCTTTGAAGACTGCCAAGGCAAGGAGGGAAAATATATAATAAATAAAGTTACGATCCATCAATGTGTAATGAAATCAACTCAATAGAGTATGTCTTTGTTTGTTGTTATTGTTAAATGCCATTGAGTCGATTCTGACTCATAGCAACTCTTTATAGAATTTCTGAGGAAGAGCTGGTGGGTTTGAACAGTGGTTCACAGTCCAGTGCTTATCCTACACTGTCACACTAGGGCTCCGATGGAGTATGACTAGCATTAAATGAAAAAAATACTATTCAGAAATTTCACAAGTGGTAAGGGTAGGTTACTGTTGATAGGTGCATTTAAGTCGGGACCAACTCATAAAGACCTTATCCACAACAGAATGAAACACTACCTAGTCGTGCACCATCCTCACAATCATTGCTACCCTTGATCCCATTATGCTGCCACTGTGCCAATCCATTTTGTTGGGGGGTCTTTCTTTTTTTTGCTGACCCTCCACTTTACCAAGCATGATATCCTTCTCCAGTGACTGCTCCCTCCTGTCCAAAGTATGATAGACAAAGCCTGGCCATCCTGCTTCCAAGGAGCATTCTGGCTATACTTCTTCCAACACATACTTGTTTGTTCTCCTGACAGATCACAGTACTTTTAATATTCTCCTCCAACACCACAACTCAAATGCATCAATTCTGCTATGGTCTTCTTCACTGGTCCAACTTTACATGCATCAGAGGCTATTGAAAATACAACATCTTGGGGCGTTATTTTTGTTTTCTTTACATTGATAAGCAAACTGTACCCAAGGCTGTGGTCTTTGATCCTCATCAATAAATATTTTAAGTCCTTTTAGTTTTCAGTAAGCAAGGTTGTATCTTCTGCATATCACAGGTTGTTATGAGTCTTCCTCCAATCTTGATACTATGGTTCTTCTTCATATGATCCAGCTTCTCAGATTATTTGCTCAGCATTGTTGTTGTTGTTGTTGTTAGGTGTCATCAAGTTGGTAACCTCACAGCAACCCTATGCACAGCATAATGAAACACTGCCCAATCCTGGGCCAACCTCACTACTGTTGCCACGCTTGAGTCCATCGATG